TATATATATATATATATATATATATATATATATTAAAATGCATGTGGGTACTCTAATGAAAGCTCTTGATGAGTGTCACATCAGGATGTGCTTATATCTTTGAAAACGTCAATAGTTAAGAACGTACAGTGAAATTTAACATAATTAAGAAACGACCTTGTATCTTGTGAAATATTGAGATTTTTAAAGATATAAGTTCATCCTGATGTTACACTCACCGAGACCTTTCATTTGAGTACCCACATCAATTTTTCATATATTTTATATATTTATATATTATATATATGAATATATGAAAAATATATATCAAAATGCATGTGGGTATTCAAATGAAAGCTCTTAATGAGTGTATCATCGTGATGAGCTTATATCTTTAAAAACGTCAATATTTAAGAAAGTACAGTGCAATTTAACAAAATTCATTATTTAACTATGCGAAATTCTAATCACGATGTCACATAGTGACTGCACGGTTGCCAGTTAAACATTAATACAAATTAATCACAAGCTGTTATTTAAAAAAAATCAATTATGTTTTGACAAAAATTATAATATAATTATTATTTTATGAATTTATCTACATCTGCAATAATAAAAAAATATTATTCATTTAATTCATTGAGATTTTTAGGTTCATTGTGTGGCTTTATACGATTAACTGTGTAATTGAGTAAATGAATATCTTGAAACAAGCGCGTGAGTCTTTGGAAATGTCTGTTAGTATACGGAATGAATGATTCCAAGTATGATGCTAGAGAAGATTCTATGCCGCCACTCCCAATATCATTTATCAGTATGTTAATGACCACCTGAAGAAAAAAAAAAGGAAATAACAACAAATACTTAACAATATAAAAATAAGTCACGATGGTTTTGTATCGTGTGATTTAATTACCTGAGCTATTTGAGCGTTACGGCTATTAGTATTCCAGTTAGAAGCAAACTTGAGTAAAGATTCTTTGTAGTGCGGCTTCAATTCACTTATTGCATCTTTCAATCTTTCATGATCATTGTTTCTCATTATGCCTTCAATAATACGCAAAGCTTGCAGTGGTTTTTCTAATTTTATTGTTAGCTTTAATGCTGCTACCAATTTATCAGATTTGAGGAGATTTGCTAATTTTTGCTCTTCAAGAATTCGCTGTTCTTTTTCTGCATTTGCTTTTTCACGATTTTCTTCAGTCACATCTCGCCATACAACTATTTGTGAATCACTGCCTCCACTTATAATTTGATTTTCATCGTGGCTTACTAAAAAAAAAAATTTTTTTTAAATAAATAAATAAAAGAAAAATATTATTTATTATTTAAAGAATCAAAAAATGTTTTTTGATGAATGAAATTTACCAGCAAGTGCCCAGACTCTGTTGTCATGTGCTTCTAGTGTACTTATTGCCTCAGAAGTTTTAACAATCCATAACTTTAACAATCCATCGGCGCCAGATGTAATTAATTGCATTCCACGAGTAATAAATTCAGCTCTCAAAACCGAACATTCGTGACCTTCGAAAGTCTATTACAAAAGATAAATTTAAATATTTATTTTTAAAGCAAACAATAAACCGTTTAAGTATTGATTAAAAAAAATATTTTATACCTTCAAACAGTTCAACTCTGAAATCGACCATAATTTAATAGTACAGTCAGCGGATGTTGTTAAAAGTACTTGATCAATGGGTGAAAATCTCACACACCAAACACCTCGACGGTGACCACGAAGAACTCCAATCAGTTGTAAATTATCAGCACTCCATAACTAAAAAAATTTTGGTAAATATTAATAATTATTTAACTAGTAACCTTGCAATCACTATAATTTTGCTTTATTAAAATTGACTATTGTTAAATTGCTCTGTACTTTCTTAAATATTGACGTTTTTAAAGATATAAGCTCATCCTGATGTTACATTGATTATAAGCTTTCATTTGAGTACCCACATGCATTTTCATATATTTTTCATATATATACATAATATGTAATATATATAAATATATGAAAAATTGATGTGGGTATTCAAATGAAAGGTCTCGATGAGTGTAACATCGGGATGAGCTTATATCTTTAAAAATATCAATCGTGCACAAAATACAAGATCATTTCTTAATTATTGATATTTTTAAAGATGTAAGCTCATCCTGATGTTACACTCATAAAGACCTTTCATTTGAGTACCCACATGCATTTTTGATATATTTTTTTGTTATATATGTACATATATATAAATATATGAAAAATTGATGTGGGTACTCAAATGAAAGGTCTCGATGAGTGTAACATCGGGATGAACTTACATCTTTAAAAATGTCAATAGTTCACAAGATACAAGGTAATTTCTTAATTATGTATCTAGAGATAGAGCATTTTCGAATGCAGCCTAAATACTTATCTATATTTTTACCTTAGCTGTTTTATCTTGTGACCCAGTAGCTATAATTTTATCATTAGGCGATATAACAACGCAGTTCACATCTTTTTGATGTCCAATAACAGTATGATTGACTTGCAATTCAATATTTTTATCTGAAAATAAAAATCATGTAGATGATTTTTTATTAATGGATTAAAAATAATAATAAAATTTTATTAACCTGTTGGAAGCATTTTTTTGGGAAGAGCCCACAATTTTAAACACGTATCCTGACTTACTGAAGCAAAAAAGCTAGCAGATGATTGTGAAAGAGCAACTGAGCCAACTGAAGCGGTATGACGTTCGCTATGACCGATGCAGAACATCAAATTACTTTCTCTGCACATGTACCAAATACGTACACTGTTATCCTTCGCTGATGATACCATCAAATAATGATTAGCTGGAGTGGTTGCAAGTGCCAGTACTAAATCAGTATGACCACATAATAATTGACAATTCATCGTTAGCAGTTCATACAATTTAATATCAAAGCTGTTAGTAGCTACTGCAATATGACTATCATTTTCTCCTAGATACACAATGTCAAGAATTTCATCGCTGTATCCTACGAATTGTTTTGTGGGAACAAAACTTTTTAACGAATGGATAATTATGTGATGATCCGTTGTAACTACTGCAAAAGATTCCAGGTGATCGTTGAGCAATAAATGTGTAATAGAAAGACCGCCGTCTTCTTTAGCTGCAGATACCAGAGAATTTTGTTGGCAATAGACTTCACGGCCTGATTTCATTTCCCAAATTTTAACGACACCCTTTTCACCAGCGCTTGCCACGTAAATGTTTTTGTTATCTAGATCTTCCTCAGTATCGATAGGTAATTTCACGCCAGAAGGTATGATAAAAGCTCCTTCTATTCCTTCATAAACAGGAAGTACTCTTATTGAAACTCCTTCTACTATATCCCAAAGAATTAATACCTTGTCACGTCCCGAGCTATAAATTTTTGGATATTAATAATTATTATTAATTAAAAATTTTGAAGAGAAAGAAAAATAGTTAAGTAATTTAATCTTGGGAATTTTTACAAAAAAATAAAGATATTAAATTATAAAAATTGCAATGTTTCGTTGATTTATTTGAGCTTCATCAGTCGAAGCTTATTGTTAGCATGATATAAACACACTTGACATATAGAAGTTGAATTTTATTTTATCTTATTAATTTATTAATTTCAATGGTATTTGAGAGAAATCTAAACAAGTTGTTAATATTGTAATTTGGAAAAAATGTTTGAGATTATGAATATGCTGTTTTATGAAAATTAATTTAATAGATATCTTAGAATTTTTTTGAAATAATTTTAAATAAATTTGAAATAATAAATCCAATTTTTTTGAAATAATTTTTTGGAACAAATGTATAATTTAACATCTTCATTTACTTTCCAAATTCTCAAGATTAAGTTATTTAAATATTTTAAAAGTGGACGAGAACTTATTAATAAATATTAATTAGAGAAAAAATTTAATACCTTACTAAATTATCACCATTTCTATGGAAAGATATTGATGTTACTTTACTAAAATGACCAACCAATGCAGATTTTAATTGTCCTGTTGAAATATCCCATCCATATATTTTAGTGTCGTCTCCAGCAGCAAAAAGTAATTTTCTTTCTGGATCTGGATGGCATTCTAGTACACTGCAAGATATAAAATAAAATTATTGGATTTAATTAGTGTAAATTTAAATAGTGTAAAAATTAGATTGTTTTATAAGTGTGATAATAAAAATTTAAATTACCTAACAACTCCTTGAACTCCTTTTAAATTGTGAGTACAGGAATGATGCTGTAAATTCCACAATCTTATACTCGAATCGCTTCCACCAGAAACCATGATATCATCACCAAAAAATCGTATCAAAGGTACTGGGCCTTGATGAATTGACTTCCAGGATTTGACAAGTTTTTCATCTAGTACAATAATTACAATCAATTAATCATAAATACAAATAATAAAAACAAAATCGTAATAATTCAATTTTTTATTTATGTTACCTTTCCATGCCCATAGTTTAAAAAGACTGCTCTTATGAGCAGTTATAATTTGACTGCCATCATTATTTATACAAAAAGTATTGATAACATCAACATCTTCATCATCGGAGCTTCCTAATGAATGTACTACTATTCCTTTACTAATTGACAGTACAGACAATGTACCATTATTCTGACAAAATAGATGTTCTCCATCCTTGCTCCACTGTAAATTTAAAATAAAATTTGTAATGACATTAAATGCATTTAAAATTTTTAAATTATCAAATATCTGTTTAATTAATTTCCATAAATACATTTGTAAATATAAAAATAATTAATATTTACCTCAACACTTCCTCCAGTGTAAAAAGCAGCATGTTTTGATTTTATAGCAAATCTGAAATTTTAATAATCATATTTATTAATGAAAATTAAATTAGCCGACATTTAAAAATTTTTATAATTTCTTTTATTGAAAAATAATTTTAAAAAATTAAAGCAATCATTTTCACATGTAGAGAATTTTAAAAATTATCCGTGGAATTTTTAAAAAATAGTTTTTTAAGTTATAATTTTTAATTAATAAAAAAAATTAAAAATTTTTCATATTTATTAACAAACATTGTAACCTAAAAAAAATATCTAAAAAATTCAACATTTATTACTCCTAAAAAATAAATTAAAAAACAAGTATTTTATACGTACGCTTCTTTTAAATTTTTATTACTCATTTTGGACAAAAAATATTATTTTTATTTATTAAAATTCATTTATAAAATGCACCAATTAAAAAAATAATTAACTTGAATTTTTTTAAACAACAAACGTGGCGCGTAGTTTTTCTGTTTGTAATCTTGACCCAAGCAACGGCAAGTCTCGTGACGTCAATCACGCCTCTGGTGTTAATTTCTGGAGTTAAAATACTTTAGCGCCACCAAGCGTTCTATAACAGAAGTATTTAATAAAATAAATAACCAACACAATTAAATTTCTGGATAATTTATGGGATTTATAAAGTTTAATTTCGTAAATTATTATTTTTTTAAACAATACAAACAATAAAAAACTTAATTTTCATTTTTTTAGTGTAAATAGTTATTACTGTTTTTATTTATACACTAAATGTATAGTTTTCCATTGGAAAAATTCTCACCTGGAGGATTTTAATTTTTGGAGTGTGTAAATTTTAATAAATAGAAATTAATAAACAAGCACGTGTCGGTACTCTAAAAAATAAGTAAATAAAGTTGTTTATTATTAAAATGTCATTGTTGTCAGCTACTTGTAGAAGAATAAATGCATACCGGCATTTAGTATGTACATCAGTATCACCACTATCTATTGCTCGAACATTATCAACAGCACCACAAAACACGTATGACTCCAAGAAGTTTGCCGGCTACAAAGTACTGTATAACTTAGAAACCATAAAAAATATTAGCATACTTAATAGATTGAAGTATCGTATGACAATAGCGGCAGCGGTTATTGTACCTGGATGTTCCGCACTAGACAGTCTTGGATTTTTATCTGCGGATTTCTCACAACCATTATCATTTTTAAGTAAGTTTATCAAAATATTAAATTTTTTATTGATTAATTATAAATGACACTTAAATCAGCTGGCATCTGACAGTTTTTTTTATATCTTTATTACAAATTTATTGTAAAAAAAAAGTTTTCTCCAGTAATTTTTTTAAATTTCTAGATGTGGAATTTTTTCTTTTAATTTTTTTGTAATAATTTTATTAATAAAAAAAATTTTTGAAAATTGTCAGCTGTCTGATAGTTTTATTTTCATGATTCAGTATCATAAAAAATTGATAGATGTCTATTAATTTCAGTATCATAATTATAAATATGACTATAATTAACTCTACTTTTAATTACAGCAATTGCAATCACTTTCTTCTTTCATGGCGTTGGATTATTTTGTAACAATGTGATCGGATACATTTACTTCAAACCTAAAAGCGATGACTTAAAAATTTCTTACGTTAATTATTGGGGAAAAAGAATTGATATTGATGCAGATGCTAAGACTGTTAAATGCACTGAAAACTCTTCTTTGCTCTACCGACCTGTATTCAATACAGTAACTACTGAATCAACTAAAGCGAAGCTTAGGTTGTATGTTAAGGGAAAAGTTATGGATGAAAAATATTTTGATAATATATTTGGTATTCCTTTCTAAATAAACATGTATTAATAGTATGATGATTGCTTTTATTAAAAGATTATTTACTGTTATTTATAAAATAATTTTTATAATTATTAATTATTATTTATGTCCATCTGAAGTGAGCGTAAGCACGATTGGCTTCACACTGTTTGTGGAGGTCTTGTTTCTTCTTCACCACACGTCCCTATAATTTGAAATAATTGTTTTAGATTAAAAATTATTAATTTAACATTATAAAATTAATTAAACTGACTGTATTATTGGATGCATTTATTAACTCTTGTGCCAGAACCTCTGCATAAGGAGTTCTGGCTTCTTTTTCTTTGCATGATTTTACTAGCCAACTCATAGCTAAAAATCTCCGGCGATTTTCTGTCACAGGCACGGGTACCTAATACATAAAATATAATTTTAAATATGAATTAATATCTTATTAATGCACACTAAAAAATGTATTTACTTGATAGGTGTTTCCTCCTTTTTTAATGCCTAAAAGTTCCATTACAGGAGTCACATTTTCGATAGCTTTATGCAAAATAACTAGAGGATCTAATATAATTTGACCGCGTTCTTCTGGTTTGCTCTTGTGGTAATGAGCTAATTGTGTACGTTTTATCGTTTCAAAACATTGCTCCAATAAACTACGTGCTAAAGCTTTTTTTCCTTTTCTCATAATAAAATTTGTAAATTTTCTGAAATTTTAATATAAATTTTTGAACAATTACGAGCTCCTTGCTATTTTTTATTTTGACAATTGTGTTTAATCAATAATTAATTTTAAAAAATAACTGTATTTAAATAATTAATTTAAAAAAATATACCTTGCAATTGGATCATGAAATTCAGAACAAGTTTCATCATGAAAAGCTGGTTTTATTGGTACATGAGCTAAACGATCAGCTTCACCGGTCTCTTGCAACAATGCTTGCTGATCTTTCTTAAAAATTGGTTTTACATACGAAGGTGGAAAGACAGAGTATGATTTTACTGAACCTAAACTTAAAATACTATAAAAAAAATATATAGTTATTATTAAAAATTATACTTTTCAAAATTGTGATTTAGAAAGTTAAAAATAATCTACAAATTTTTTTAATTTAACAAATTAAATAAAATAATTATGAAGTTAAAAGTTTTTTTAGTGTAAATTTTTCATGAATGAAAAAAAATATTTATTGAAATAAACTATGACATTAAAGTTAGTAGGTAGAGTCACTTGATCATTTTTTAATTTGTTAAAAAAAATTGCATTTTTAATTTTAAAAAATTTACATGTCAATTTTTTTTGCTATAATTTATTTGTCAGAAAAATTTTTAAAATATGAAAATTAATTCAGCAGATATTTTATAATTTTAAGAATTATTCTATCAAATGAATTATGTCAAAGAAAATTAGAAAAAAAAAATTGACATTTGAAAATTAAAAAAATAAAAAATGTAATTTTTTAGAAATAATTTTTTGGAGCAAATTTATTTATTAAAAAAAAAATTAAAAAATGGTCAAGTGACTGCTAACTAATGTCATTAAAATGATTAAATATCTTTTAAATTAATTTTTATAAATAAATTACCTGGATAAATTAATTTTTTTCAAACCCAGTTGTAAGTTTCTTGCTTGTGTTGCTATACCAGCCATTATCATCAACAATTAACTCAAATACTAAAATATAATTAATAACCTCAAAACATTTAACAATTCACAAATTTACCTTTCCGTACCAAATTTATTTATTTAAAGCAATTAAACTCTTTAATTGTCAGTAAAAATGAAAAATGAGACTCCAAAATTCCAAACACATGTGAATAAAAATAATAACAAATATAATAATAATGATGTAGATAAGAATGAAAGCTGTAAAATATCGAGGTAAGAGTTTATAGTTGAAAATAATCTATCGTCACTCCATTTTCCCGGTTTAGAGAGTTTAGTTCAGCAGTCACGGCGTTTTCTTGTGTCGCCTTGTGAGTTTTCGGTCAGAGATACTAGACACTACTGACTTATCACTCTCTTATTCCATAAGTCTCTGTATTTTCATAATTGTGAACAAATTATTTTTTATTACAACAAATAAAGTTATTATTAAAATCAATAATTTTTTGTAGTACATTTAGATAAATTAATAAGACTGTCAAATAATAAACAATAATATTAATAATAATAATAATAATAATAATAAATAATAATTGTACATAAAATAGTAAGTTAAATAATTATCGACCAGACAAATGATGCGTTATTCTGAAAATCAGTACGTTCATCCGATAATTTGTTGGAATAAGGTATCCTAGGTGTTGGAAGGTGTGCCTTGACAAGTGGTTTAACCTGTATTTTATATATATAAATACATATATACTTCTCCGATAGAAATAATAACTATTTGTAATGGCTGAGAGCCAGGGCAATTCATCGTCAAACCAATTGAACCAAGGTACATTTCAAATTATTTATTTATTTATTTTATTTCTTTATTTCGCGCCTTTGATACCTCTTTATTTATCCTAACCTACCTATTTTTTTTTATTAATGGCAATTTGTAATTTATTTTTAACTTTATCAATATTTATTTATAATCTTGGCATTAAGTTCCAGGTTCTGGCCGGACATTCAACTTCCAGCGTTTTGATTTCCGTTCAAATAATGACATACAGAAAGAATCAGGTATTGTTGTCAATTTTCTGATAATTTATAATGATACTGAAGTTGACAGACATTAAAAATTTTTTTAGAATTTTATAACAATTAATTTATTTAAAAAATATGAGAATTAATTTAGTAGATATTTTATAATTTTTTCTAATAAATAAATTATATCAAAGGAAATGAAAAAAAAAAATTGACATTTAGGAAATTAAAAAAATGAAAAATCCAATTTTTTGGAGCAAATTTATTTAAAAAAAAAAAATTAAAAAATTGTCAAGCGACTGCTGACTTTAATGTCATAATTAATCTAGTAAATATTTAATAATTTTTAGAAGTTTTGTTAACAAATAAACTATGGCAAAAAAAAATAAGAAAAAAAAAATTGACATATAAAAATTTTAAAAAATTAAAAATGCCATTTTTTAAAAATAATTTTTTAGAGTTAATTTAATTGTTGAGTAAAAAAAAAAAATTATCAAGTGACTGCTGACTTTAATATCATTAAAAAAATTACAAGTAAAAATTTTTAAAAGCATTTTTTTATTGTAATTGATTTTTTGTAAAAATTTTTAAAATTGAGAGCTGACAGCTAACTTCAGGATGACAATTCATAATAATATTACTTTGTTTAAATTGTTTCAGTTTGTTTTATTGTATTGTATTGATTCTGTATTATTGGTGATTGGATTATTGATAATGGAATAAATTTTCTTTCAGAAAAACGACGAGCTCTTAAGCTCTCGTTACCAACACAGAGCAGTAGCTTACCAGCAAATTCCAGTAACTCTAACTCTACTTCAATTAATCCTACTGGAACATCTGCTGGTTCTCCTGTACCGTAAGTTTTTTTTTTAAATAAATTATTTCACCATTGTTTCTTAAAAAAATTTATTTATTCTTATTTTAAAATATTTGTTTTAGAAACTCACGTCCTACCTTGCCTTTGTCGATGTCTAAATTACCCGTTAAATCTCGAACACCACCACAACAAGGACATTTTCCTGATAAAGCACGGTATAATTTTATTTTATACAAAATTAGTTTAATAACAAAAAAAAAAAAAAAAAAAATAAATTATAATAGTTAAAGTACAGATATTAGTACAACTCACATTTAAGTTACTGATGAGCACTTCACTTAACTTGTAATTTAGTTATAAATAGTTAATAGCATTTAATTAAAAAACTAAAAATTTATTATGAAAAATATAATTATAAATTTAGGGATAAATTGAGAATGTGCCAGTCGATGCAAAGTACTGGTAAATTACAATTATCACCCGACACAGTGTATGATTTTACAAGTGAAGATCTACAAGACGTTGGTGAAATTGGCCGAGGAGGTTTTGGTACTGTAAATAAAATGATTCATAGGATAAGCAATACTGTCATGGCTGTGAAGGTAAATTTATTATGACATTAAAGTTAGCTGTCATTTGACCAATTTTTTATTTTATTTAACAATTAAATTATCTCTAAAAAATTATTTTAAAATAATTACATTTTTAATTTTTTTTTAATTTCTACATGTCAATTTTTTTTTGCCGTAATTTATTTGTTAACAAAAGTTCTAAAAATAATTTAATACTAACTAAATTTATTACTCGCTAAACGAGAAATCATTATTAATTTTAATTTAATGTTTAATTAATAATAAATATGATAATTGCAGAGAATTCGTTCTACGGTAGATGAAAGAGAACAGAATCAACTATTAATGGACTTGGAGGTGGTAATGAAATCAAACGAGTGTCCATACATCGTGCAATTTTATGGAGCTTTATTTAAAGAAGGTGACTGTTGGATTTGTATGGAGCTAATGGACACCTCATTAGACAAGTTTTATAAATTTATTTACGAGAGATTAAATAAAAGGATACCCGAGTGTATCCTTGGTAAAATAACAGTAGCTACTGTTAAAGCTCTAAATTATCTTAAAGAAAAATTAAGAATAATTCATCGTGATGTTAAACCAAGCAATATTTTACTGGATCGTGGTGGCAATATTAAACTTTGTGACTTTGGTATTTCTGGACAACTAGTAGATTCTATTGCACGTACACGTGATGCTGGTTGCAGGCCTTATATGGCTGTAAGTTTACTCTTTAACTTGTCAAAAATAAATTGATAAATTTATTTTTTTATAAATCTAATTGATTGATTATTTTATTTTTTTTTTTTTTTTTATTGTAGCCGGAACGAATAGATCCTCAACGAGCTCGCGGTTATGATGTAAGAAGTGATGTCTGGTCATTAGGAATTACTTTGATGGAAGTCGCAACTGGATACTTTCCATATCCCAAGTGGAATTCTGTTTTTGAACAGTTATATCAAGTTGTCCAAGGTGATCCGCCACGATTATCGCCCAATGGCAACGGCAATCATTTTACTATGGAATTTGTAAACTTTGTTAACACTTGGTAATTTTTTTTTTTTTTTATTAACTAGCAATTAAAACTCGAAATTAGGATAACTAATTATTTAAATGTGCTCTGAATTATTCTACTTGGAACTTAGATTTATCTTATTTTAAAAGTCTTTGCATTATTTTGAATACATTAAAAAGTTTTAAGTCAGCTTGATAAGGTGGTTAATTTAAAACTAATAAGTCCTAACGACTTAAGTTTTTTATTTTTATCTTCCTTTGGTAATTTTTTTTTATTAATTTGTCATGATTAAAAGAGATTCAATCGTGAAAGTTACATTATCGGTTTTATTTAAAATTTTCTGAAAAAAAAAATTTTACATTAATCTATATTATCAAGAGAATAAGAAAAATTTAGTCTCATTGCAAAGGTCTTGACTTGAATTTGTGCCTTATCAATGATTCATTTAATTCTCATGGATAGTCAATTTATTATGATAAGCATTTAGGCTGCATTCGAAAATGCTGTATCTCTAGATACATAATTAAGAGCTAACCTTGTATTTTGTGAACTATTGACATTTTTAAAGAAATAAGCTCATCCCGATGTTACACCCATCGAGACCTTTCATTTGAGTACCCACATCAATTTTTTATATATTTATATATATTATATATATGTATATATAAAAAATATATGAAAATGCATGTGGGTACTCAAATGAAAGCTCTTGATGAGTGTAACATCAGGATGAGTTTATATCTTTAAAAATGTCAATAGTTAAGAAAGTACAGTGCAATTGAACATAATTAAAAAATTACCTGGTATCTTGAGAACTATTGATATTTTTAAAGAAATAAGCTCATCCTGATGTTACATTCATCGAGACCTTTCATTTGATTACCCACATCAATTTTTCATATATTTATATATTATATATATGTATATATGAAAAATATATAAAAATGCATGTGGGTACTCAAATGAAAGCTCTTGATGAGTGTAACATCGGGATGAGCTTATATCTTCAAAAATGTCAATATTTAAGAAAATACAGTCCAATTTAACAAAATTCATTATTTAATAAGTAAAAATTTTATTTATTCATAGTTCACAAGTCACAGCAGTCACGTAGTGGCTGTAAGATTGCTAGTTTATTTTTAAAAGATATGATAAATATATTGTTAATAGTTTTTTAAATTATTTATTTAAAAAATATATTATAAATCATTTTTTATATCTTACAGTTTAATAAAAGAAGAACATCAACGTCCGAAGTACAATAAACTTTTAGATCACGCATTTATAGTCCGATCAGAAGAGGCGACAATTGACGTTGCTGCTTACATCAGCAGCATTTTAGACAATATGGCAAATAATGGAGTAACACCATTTACAACCGATCAGCCTTAATGATTACTATGTAACAATAAATGGTGAATGAAAATTCTTCTTTAATTTGAGAGAAGGAAAATCTTGCACTCAACTCTATATTTTATTATTTTTAAATTTTATTAATTGCTTTTAATTTTTTTAACCAGTGCTAAAAAAATTGTAAAAAAATGGATTTTAATTTTTTGAGAATTTTTATCGGTAATAATTTTAAATTTTTATGTCACGTAATTGCAAATTAAAATATCAAAACAAGATTTTTCTTTCTTTTGAATTTAATTATTTTCAGTTGCTACACATATTTTTCGAGCAATGTTTCCTTTGTTATAAAAATTCAAAGAAAATGTCGAAAATTTTGTGCGCATTTGTTATTTTTTTTTAGAATCTACGGACATGTTGTGTCTTTACTTAAATAAAGATTCGAATAATAATAATAATAAAAAATAATTAAGGATAAGAGTAAATAAAAAGTAAAAAATTAAATAAGATTAATGAAAAAAAACTTGTTTGTATAGCGAGTAGAAGTCATCAGTCACGGTGGCCTTTGTAGAAAACAAAAACAAAAAAAAAAAATAAAAAAAAAAATAAATAATGAGCGGGAATAATTAATAAATTTCTTAGTGTACTTTCTTACATACAGGCACTTGTAAAAAAAAGAAACATTAGTTCTCCATCAATTCTATTGTCACTAAAAAAAATGTAATCAAATAATTTTAGGGTACATTACACATAATATTGTCACCAAAAGATAATAAATAATTTTAATAATAATATAATAAAGATTAATAATAATAATAATAAAAATAGTAATAATTAATTATTTCTAAAGTGATGAAATGATAATATGATAATAACAATCAGTTAATAACTTAATCATGTATTAAAACCGCTCGTTCATCTTATGACTCACTCGTTTCTAAAAAAAAATAAATAAATAATTGTGGAAATAATTATTTTACATTTTATAAAGAGTTGTGTAAACTCTGGCATAATATTTTTTTTTTTGCCGAAGCAGTACATTATTGATTATTGTAATTTTATTAGAACCAAGCTTATTACCGGCATTTAATAATCATTAAAGGAATAGTCACCTTAAAAAAAAAATAAGGAAATATTCTGTAATGTAATAAGTTAATAAATGCCTCATTAATTAAAAATGAAAATTTTTTCTTGAAGTTATTTTTAGATTCTTCATAAGGCTTTTTTTATCTTCGCTGGATAATGACCCTTTTAAACAAGAAAATCATTTACCGTGACAAACTTTTCGTCTGCGGGTCCAGGTGTACTATAATAATAACAATGATAATGATAAAAATTATTACAGTTGTTTTTTTTTTTTTTCAATTAAACTAATCTATATTACTAAGAAAATGAGCAAAATTTTTTAGCCAGTGTATTTGTATGATAAAATGGGTTTTTGTAGTGAAAGTCTTGATCTGGAGTTGTGTCTTTTTATGGTTTCATATCATTCTTACCAATAGTCAATTTATGATGATAAGTATTTAGGCTGCGTTTGATAATTATCTCTAGATACATAATTGAGAAACGACCTTGTATCTTGTGAACTATTGACATTTTTAAAGATATAAGCTCATCTCGATATTACATTCATCGAGACCTTTCATTTGAGTACCCACATCAATTTTTCATATATTTATATATATCATATATATGTATATATGAAAAATATATCAAAATGCATGTGGGTACTCAAATGAAAGCTCTTGATGAGTGTAACATCGGGATGAGCTTATATCTTAAAAAATATCAATAGTTAAGAAAGTACAGTGCAATTTAACATAATTATGAAACGACCTTATATCTCGTGAACTATTGCCATTTTTAAAGATATAAGCTCATCCCGATATTCCACTTATCGAGACCTTTCATTTGAATATCCACATCAACTTTTCATATATTTATATATATTATATATATATGTATATATGAAAAATAATATCAAAATGCATGTGGGTACTCAAATGAAAGCTCTTGATGAGTGTAACATCGGGATGAGCTTATATCTTAAAAAATATCAATAGTTAAGAAAGTACAGTGCAATTTAACATAATTATGAAACGACCTTATATCTCGTGAACTATTGCCATTTTTAAAGATATAAGCTCATCCCGACGTTACACTCATCGAGACCTTTCATTTGAGTACCCACATCAATTTTTTATATATTTATATATATTATATATATATATATATATGTATATATGAAAAATATATCAAAATGCATGTGGGTACTCAAATGAAAGCTCTTGATGAGTGTATCATCGGGATGAGCTTATATCTTTAAAAACGTCAATCGTTAAAAAAGTACAGTACAATTTGAAAAATTCATTATTTAATAAATCAAAATTTTATTTAATTATAATTCACAAGTCACGGAAGTCACATAGTGACTGCAAGGTTGCTAGAATTTTTCTATTAATTTTTCTTTTTGAAATAAAAATTTATTACCTCAAAAAAGTAAACTAATTTGTTTTCGTGAGTAAAGTTAAAGTAGCCGGTAAAACTTGGTCTCGACCTTCGCAGGTGAAAATATGGCTGACGATTATATACTCGACGGGGGTCTAAGTCAGTACTAAAGGGGATGGTGGTAGCAGAGGACGTAGGTCGTCGCTACTCTGATTTTATTCAAATGTGTCTTTTATTATCAACTTTATCATGAAAAAAATCATAATTATCAAATTTGTTTCGCTTGTTACAAAATTTTTCTGTTAATAAAACACTAAAAAAGTTTTTTAGTACTAAGTGAGTTATTTTTAAACGTCGCAAAAATTGTGAAATTAAATGATTAAATAAAAAAAACTACTTGGAATTTGTAATTACATTAAAAGTTTTTTAAAAATTTTGTAAGTACCAAAATTCAATATTAATTTTTCAATTTTACCAATTTTAATGTAGTTTTGTAGCAAGAATAACAATAATAATTCTAATAATATAAATAACAATAATAAATAAAATGACAGAATATTCAGTAATAAAAAAAAATATTTAAATATTTCTAAATCTGTAATCTAAGTTTGTAAATTTCCATTTCTATATTAATTTAAAAAAATTAGTGTGTGGGCTGACTGTTGCAGTGACTGTGTGCTGCTGCGGCAAAGAGAATCAATTCTTTTGAATATTTTATCCACTACGCTATCACAACTAGCCCCTTCTTATGTTCTATACTAAGACGGACTGATTCTATGTCCACTTTTGTCGTGGTTATCTATTAATTGAGGTTGACCACTTGAATAAGTCCACATCATCTTTTACGTATGACCTAATAATGTTGTTTTATTTTATAAATACCCAACTGTTTTTGGTATTAATTCTACTTATTATTTTCAAGGGTAATATTCATTTTATTTATGAATAATAACAAGCGTTGACCCTTTAGAGCACATAAAAAAAAAAATTAACTTGATTCAAGAGAAAAATTCTTGAATTAAGTAAAATTTCCTTAAATCAAGAAAAATGTTCTTAAATCAAGAATTTTTCTACTCAAGCCAAGAGTATTGAGCTCTTTAAAAATATATACTTGATTCAAGAACATTTTTTTTTCCGATAAGCCTTTGAATTTTCTTTTTTTCCAAAAATAAAATCTATACAATTAAAATTTTAAGAAAAAAAAAATTAAACACCTGCACATAGTTGGAGGTCTGCTGGGAGGCTCCAGAATGCGATAAAAATGAAAATAAGAGGCAGGTTGACACGCTGTGGGGTGAGTTTAATCGTGTGGTAGTAATAGTAATAGTGTAATGTACATATTACACACTCGTGTGAGGGTGACTCACAACCTGACGCTTGACGTAGTAGACTTCAACCTGCTGGCGATTGCGAGGGTTGAAGGGACAGGAGAGGGACCAGAAAAACCCTGTATATATGGTAGCGGTCTGCTCGGTGGAGGTGAACGGCAGGTGGTGGTCCGTTTTGATACTGCTGCTGCTGTTTCAACGTTGAACACCATCATGCACGTGATAGAGTTGAACTAGGAGGTCGACGCCCAGAGAGGCAGGGGACGGATGTTCCCAGGAGATTATTGATCGCCTTCAGATACTTGCCCACGTTCTCATGTCAGGACAAGGACGGCCGGCATTATTTTCCGTCCCTTTCTTTGATTTTCTTTTTTTGTTAATTTTTATTTATAATTATTTTATTTTATTCCGGTATTTTTCCGTAAAACTGCAAAGTACCTGTAAATAAAACATTAATATTAATATAATTATATAAAGTTTAAAAAAAATAGTTAATAAATTAAATAAAATTATTTATAGTACAGCAAATATTAAATTTTTTTAATATTATTAATAGTTTTTTTAAAGTTTTTATCGAATTTTTTATAAGCTTTACGCTTTTTTAAAAATTAGACTTTTGAAAAATTTATTATTTTTATAGTTTATAGATTTAAAAGACAAGGTAATTTTTTTTTTGCAATTATTGATTTATTTTTTATTTATAGCGTTAAAATTAATGTTGAATTGAAATAAAATGAGTTAATTTTAATAATTATTAAGTACTTGATTTATTTGCATGACTTTTAAAAGCTTTCTATAAATAAAAATAAAATTGGAGATGATAATAATAATAATAATAACAATGATAGTATTGACAGTAATAATAAATGATACAGAAGTTAGCTGACATTTAAAAACTTTGTAATTTTTTTTTTATTGAAAAAATGATTACAAAATAAAGAAAAAAAATTGTCATTTGTAAAAAACTAAAAACTGTAAGTGCAATTTTCAAAAAACATTTTTTTGTTCTAATTTAGTTATTAAAAAAAAAATTAAAAACGTCCGGTAACTTTAGTGTCATAGTTAGCCGATGTTTGTAATTTTTTAATCATTTAATTGGTACTAATAAATTTTTTTTTTTAAATTGCACTTATAATTTTTCTAATTTTTTATAAGTGAAATTTTCATTTTTATTTCTTTTTTTAATAATAGTTTATAAATTTGTCAAGTCTGCTAATTAATTTTATTAATAATAATAACAATAAAACATGCATATAAAATTAATTTTTCTTTTCTAAACTAAAAATAGAATTAAGCGATAAATCTTAGATAGTAACTCAACCTTCGCGCTAAAAAATAATAAATAATTAAAGTTTTAATGAAAATTAATCAGTTATAAAGAAGATAATAAAATACTCGCATTAATAAAACCATATCGTTTCTGATCAATGGACGTGGCTAGGCTTGATGAAACTAAATTCCTCTCTGGTAAATCGACCAATGATGGCAAAGTCTGAAGAACCTGAATTGTGATTCGTGTCCTGAGTTTCAGTGGTCGGAGCTTCCCTTCTCTAAAGACTCTCTTATATAGGCGGCGTCAAATTCTTCACTCAGAGATATCGATGATCTGCCACAGCTCAAGAGCTTTTTATCTAAATCTATACAAATATATAATATATATACTATACCGGTTTTTTATATTTACAAAATTCACTTCGTAATTACAACATTTGTGACACGTGTTTGACCGCCTTTGGGAAGACACGTGCTCGCAAGACAGACCACCACTTCCGGTTTTCTTTTCGAATGTTATATATGCACCTGGAACAAATTATTCATTTTTATTTCCTATCCATCATAGTTATCAACTAATGCATTTACAGTTTATATTTCCTCTACACAGAAAAAAAAATTATAATTTTTATTTATTGTAATTCAGGACCAGATTCAATATTTTTATTTTTAAAAATTTATATTTATGTTAAAGTTTATGAAAATTAAATTAACCGACATCTAAAAATTTTTATAATTTTTTTTTTTATTAAAAATATTATTACAAAAAAAATAAAAAACAATTTTCATTTGTAAAAAACGTGAAAAATTCTAAGTGTAATTTAAAAAAATATTTTTTAGTTATAATTTAATATAAGTACTTGATTTATTTGCATGACTTTTAAAAGCTTTCTATAAATAAAAATAAAATTGGAGATGATAATAATAATAATAATAACAATGATAGTATTGACAGTAATAATAAATGATACAGAAGTTAGCTGACATTTAAAAACTTTGTAATTTTTTTTTTATTGAAAAAATGATTACAAAATAAAGAAAAAAAATTGTCATTTGTAAAAAACTAAAAACTGTAAGTGCAATTTTCAAAAAACATTTTTTTGTTCTAATTTAGTTATTAAAAAAAAAATTAAAAACGTCCGGTAACTTTAGTGTCATAGTTAGCCGATGTTTGTAATTTTTTAATCATTTAATTGGTACTAATAAATTTTTTTTTTTAAATTGCACTTATAATTTTTCTAATTTTTTATAAGTGAAATTTTCATTTTTATTTCTTTTTTTAATAATAGTTTATAAATTTGTCAAGTCTGCTAATTAATTTTATTAATAATAATAACAATAAAACATGCATATAAAATTAATTTTTCTTTTCTAAACTAAAAATAGAATTAAGCGATAAATCTTAGATAGTAACTCAACCTTCGCGCTAAAAAATAATAAATAATTAAAGTTTTAATGAAAATTAATCAGTTATAAAGAAGATAATAAAATACTCGCATTAATAAAACCATATCGTTTCTGATCAATGGACGTGGCTAGGCTTGATGAAACTAAATTCCTCTCTGGTAAATCGACCAATGATGGCAAAGTCTGAAGAACCTGAATTGTGATTCGTGTCCTGAGTTTCAGTGGTCGGAGCTTCCCTTCTCTAAAGACTCTCTTATATAGGCGGCGTCAAATTCTTCACTCAGAGATATCGATGATCTGCCACAGCTCAAGAGCTTTTTATCTAAATCTATACAAATATATAATATATATACTATACCGGTTTTTTATATTTACAAAATTCACTTCGTAATTACAACATTTGTGACACGTGTTTGACCGCCTTTGGGAAGACACGTGCTCGCAAGACAGACCACCACTTCCGGTTTTCTTTTCGAATGTTATATATGCACCTGGAACAAATTATTCATTTTTATTTCCTATCCATCATAGTTATCAACTAATGCATTTACAGTTTATATTTCCTCTACACAGAAAAAAAAATTATAATTTTTATTTATTGTAATTCAGGACCAGATTCAATATTTTTATTTTTAAAAATTTATATTTATGTTAAAGTTTATGAAAATTAAATTAACCGACATCTAAAAATTTTTATAATTTTTTTTTTTATTAAAAATATTATTACAAAAAAAATAAAAAACAATTTTCATTTGTAAAAAACGTGAAAAATTCTAAGTGTAATTTAAAAAAATATTTTTTAGTTATAATTTAATAAATAAAAAATTAAAAAGGTCGGTTAACTTTAGTATTATTAAAATTTTACATAAAAGTATAATTAATATACGAATTTTTATGCTGTAAAATTGTAAATTAAAAAATGAAAATTACATTATAAATAGTAATAAGTGTCGCTTCAAATTTAAAACTAGAAAAATTGCAGTTTGTTATGAAATTTTTAAAATTCAGACTTTAAATGTTAATAATTTTACTTAAAATATAATATTTACATTTTACAATATAATTCTTATACAGAAAAAAAATTAACTTGAATCAAAAGAAAAATTCTTGAGCCAAGAAAATAAAATAAAATTTACTTAAACCAAGAAAAATTTCTAATTTTAAGAACTTTTTCACTTTTAAGAAAGAACACAGTAAAAAATTTTACGTTATTGCGACAATAAATTTTGTTAAAAATTTTCAACACTGTTTTTTGACGCAAAATTTTTTACTGTGAAGATGAAATTCTTTACTTGATTTAATTAAATTTTTTTTTCTGCATACAAAATCTGTAAAAATTAAAATCTGAGACTGTAATTCTTCCAGTTTTTTATATGACACGCTATGTTACATTAAATAATGTAATATTTTTTTTTCCATGTGCATGTAATGACTAATAACTTTAAAATCAACCATTAGGATTAACTCATTATTAATGATAGACCACATCCAGACAACTATTAAACTAGTATAGTATGCATGTATTATATTTATAAATTTATAAATATATTATGAATTGACCTAGTGTGACGCACTAGAATGTCAATCGTTCCTAACTCATCGTGAGATCGATTGTACATTATATCACGCGAACATTTATGTGATTCCACCTTTTGAAGTTCATTTTCAAATGACCATCATTGTAATGTTAATTTATTGCTTTTCTTGAGAATAAATAATTTTTTACAACTAAAAAAATTTGAAACAGTTGGGTAGGGGGTTGTATCTAAGAGTCAGTTGTGTTCTGGATGCCGGGTGCAAAGCTTCACCTGTGAAAAAAGTACCACCTGTCAATAACCCAGGTACGCGTGCCAACCACCAGGAGTTCACTAGATTACACATATATGAATAATAAAAATATATGTGCATTAATTTTCATAAGTAGTTGTGAGTAAGCGGGTGGTGAATCGTCAATTCTGCCGTTCAGTTTTAGTAACTCATTCACCGTCAGTGCTGGAGTTGTCTTCAGGACTGTCTTCAGTAGTCAATTGGCATTTCTATAAAAAATTAGTTTAATTAAACTTTCAATTGATTAATTTAAATAAATTTAATTAATATAAAAGTGTTAGAAAATATTAGTGCAAAAATATTTTTTTTAGTAATTAAAATTTTTTTAATATGAAAAAAAAAATTGGAATTCTCTATTTTGTATGTTGTTTTTGTTAAGCATATAAACGAAATCGAACCTGGTTATGAGAAGACTAAAATGATGAAGGGGGACGTGATTGTGATTGAAGTTCCAGCGGATAATAATGGAGCGTCTTCCAGCAACATCGGTGTCTCGGAAGAGATGGAAACTGATGACTTTGGTGTGGAAGCTGAATTAACGAGCTTGTCCTGGCTTCAGTCTCTTGACATTACCAGTGCCTCCAGCTTGCCGACTCCACCATGCTCACCAATTCCTCCACCGGTGGTCAAACGTCCACCTAAAAAAATGTCACCGCTTGTTAAAGCTCAGCTTGGTAATTAGATTTAATATGTTTTTTTTTTTTTTTTATAGATTTATTTTAATATCTAGTTTGTCAATTAACGAAAAACTTGCAAAAGAGAGAGAAAAAATAGTATAAAGGGGAAGGGAGAACCACTCATTGGGAATTTTTCCGGACTGAGAATCGAACCCGGATCTTTTGGTTACGCATCAAGTGTTCTTTCAGCAAAGATATTTAAGACATCCTATAATTATATTATAGAAACTAAATTAGCAGACATCTGATAATTTTTAGAAGTTTTCTTACTAGAAAATTTATTTTAAAAAAAACTAAAATAAAAAATTTCACAGGTAGAAAATTTAAAAAACTACAAGTGCAATTTTTAAAAATACTTTTTTAGTTTCAATTTAATAAATGAAAAAAAAATTAAAAATGTCGGCTAACTTTAGTATTATATAAATTACATTAGAAGACATCTGATAATTTTTAGAATTATTCTTATTAAAAAATTTATTTAAAAAAAACTAAAATAAAAAAATTGTGCATGTAGAAAATTTGAAAAACTACAAGTGCAATTTTTAAAAATACTTTTTTAGTTTTAATTTAATTAATGAAAAAAAATTTTAATTACTTTCCAGTCTTAAGAACTTAATTAAAATTAATTAAGAACTCTCTATAATAAAAAATTGTAAAGTTAAATTAAATTGTTTTTTCATGATTTTTAGATTTAGCTGATAACGCTGAAAAATACCAAACGGACCCAGATATGAAACCACCATTTTCATACGCCACATTGATATGCCTTGCAATGCGTGCTAACAATAATAAATTAACATTATCAAATATTTACGCCTGGATACGTGAAAATTTTAGTTATTATCGACATGCTGACCCAGCTTGGCAGGTAAAACAAAAAAACAAATTACATTTATTTAGTAACTTCGTACAAAAAATAAATAAAAAAATTATTTTTATGTTTATAGAACTCAATCCGACATAATTTGTCATTGAACAAATGTTTTGTAAAATTACCGCGTTCGAAAGATGAGCCGGGAAAAGGCGGCTTCTGGAAATTAGACTTAGAGAGTCTGGAAGGGGGTAAACGTACCCGAAGACGCTCATCAGCCTCGAGGTACAATAAATTTTCAAGCAGAACATCGAGATCAACGTCGTCCGCATCCGGATCAATGACACCAATGACCCCATCAATTGCAGTAACACCTGGAGACATAACAACAGAAATAATTACAACAATGAATTTAAATGATCCTCAAATAACTACTGTGTTTTATGAAACCCCGCCAAGCAGTGTGTCACCACCGATACCTGATTGTTTACCTGAAGTGCCTGAATCAAACCAAGTTAGCCTTAGTGAAGATGACCTAACTGGTTTGTTAATTGCGACGGTCGGCTGGGATGAGAATCAACTTGATCTTCTTGACTCGTTACTCGATTCACTTTAAAGCTATTATTTTTAATCAAGTTTTTTTAATCAAACAATTTTTATCTAAACATTAAGATAACAATTAAAAATTTAGATGGCGTCTTACAAATTTTTAGTATTAATAAGTCAAATGATTTCAACTCAAAATTAATTAAATGTGCCTTAATATTTGACGAAATGAAAGTAGCAAACATCCGACAAATTTTTTTTTAGTTTAAAAAAACAATTTAAATATTGCAGATAAATTTTTGTAACAAACTTTAGACTTATTTTTTGTTTTTAAATTTATAATTTATAAATATTTAAATTGTTCGTTTAAAATTAAAAGTTGCCAAATGTTTACTACTTTCTTGAATATTAAATTTTGTCAACTAGTATATTTAATCAATGTAATTATAGACACTAATATTGATGTATATTATTGAATAGTGAATATTTATTTAGTTAATTAAGATTATTTATAGCAAAGCTTTCGAGCAAGCAATCAAAAAAAAAAAAAAAAAAAAAATGAAGAAAGAGAAAATTATTGAAGACTTGTAATCAAACTTTTAGGGAAAATTTTCATTTTAAAGTTGAATTTAGAAAAATTTTACTGTATAAAATTCTTTAAATTAATTTCTTTTAATAACAAATTATTTAATAAATCATCAAAGTCTTGTCGTATGTCTGCTTTTATTAATATCATAGAAGAAAAACCAAAGAAACTCAATAATATTATTATTATTGTGGATTATTGCAATTATTAATGAAAATTATAATTATTTTTTATTATTATTTATTAAAAAATTATTTATTATTCGTGTGTACGTTATTGTGTGTATGTATAATGATTTAATTGATGGAAGAAAAGCCTTGTATCGAACCGTCCAATTTTTAGATAAGAAAATTCATTGATGTAATTAATATGATGATTATAAATTTATTTATTATGAATTTATTAGACGCGCGCAGTTGTTTGAAGAATGAAATAACTTCGACTGTGAACATTAATAATTATATAATAGGTATACCATAGTCTAGAAATAAGTTAATTAATTAGAATAAAATGAGTAAATAAGTCACGCAATGAAGAAAATATTATAATCTTAATAATAAAAAATATCTTGTACTTAAAAGAAAAAATTAATACTTATATGATCATAAAAAATGATTGACTTATTTTTAAGTATAACTTATTTTTATCGATACAATTATCGATATTACTTATTTACTTTTAATATCATAAATTACTGTTAGAATATTTTTTTAAGAAGTCTGAAAAGTGTTGTGTACATAAAAATTAATGAATTGACGCATGATGATCTGTCAATAGTATACTCATGCGGTTTGAAGCGTGCAAAAAAGCAGGCATATGACAACTTTTGGGTCTTTTTTCATGTAAAAAATTAATAAAAATATTGACTTATTTTAAAATTTAAAAAATTATACATGTATCGGAAAAATTAGTAAGGGTAATCAAATAAAATCGGTCGTTTGTTAATGATAAAGCGGCCCAAGATTTTTGCCGAAAATATTAGTCTTGTAAAAAAAAATTTATAAAAAAAGTTATGGAAAATTAAATTTTTACAAGAAATTTCTCTTATAATTTTCTCATAATAAATTATTCAAATCTTAGCTATTTATAAAAATTTAAATTTAAAAATTGCGACTTTTTTATTGGTCTTGAGAAAAAATTAGAAGAGACATTTTTTTTATAAAATTAAATTTTTAACAACTTTTATTTAGAAAATTTTTTTATACTACCAATATTTCCGCCGTAATTCCAAAAATTTGACACTATTAATTATATTATTGTTATTAATTATTATTTTGAAATTAAGGCAAAAATCCTGGCCCTAATGATGAATAAAATAAATAAAAATATTAATTCCATATGACTTTAGAAAGAAAATATAAAAAAAAAATCCATAAAATAACTTTAATGGTTTTTTATTTTTAGAAAAATTAAGTCTACCTTTTCCCAAAACAAAAAACAAGTAAATTATTACTAAATTCTGTTAAAATTGTTCATTAGTAAAAAATTTGATTAAATGTGAGTAAATACGTATACTACTTACCTCTAATCTTCTAATCCTGCTCCAGAAAATGAACGTCATATCAAGTATACTTAAAAGTATGTTTTTTTTCTGTCAGTCATAAGAGCCGCCATTTGGAGTCAGCAGGTAACAAAGTTTCCTCTTAAAGCAGACTGAAGCGCCACCTGTCACAAGTTTAGTAAAATATTCTTGATATTTTTTATTTTTTTATTGTGTTTATTAGCATAAATGACAGATTACTGTCAAATACTCCAAAAACAAAGTTATTTCTACATTCGAAAAAAATAAACAAGGAACAAATAAGATTTTCTAAGTAAATTTTCTAAGTTTTTAAAATAAAAAAACATGGAGATTATTAATTCAGAATTAAACGTTCCTTTTAAATATATGCAATTCGTCGATGAGAGAATATGTGTGACAGTAAACAAAAATTGGCTAACTAATTTAAAAAACATTGGAAGAATTAATTTTATCACGCACGAACGTTTGTCTATTGATGAAATAGCTGCACAACCTCCTCTCGAAGAACTAGGATCTAATTGGACCCGTATTTACATAAAAGTAATTTTTTATCTTATTTTTTCTTATATCATAGGTTAATATTAATGACACTGAAGTTGACAAACATTAGAAATTTTTTTTATAATTTTATATCAATAAAATTTTTGTGAGAAAAATTTGAAAATTAGAAAAAATTATTAGTGGGAATTTTTTAGAACAATTTTTTTGTTAGTAAAATTAAAAAAATTGACAGCTGTTAGCTAACTTCAAAATCATTAATATTATCAATGTTATTCATAATAATAATTATTGTTTATTGTTACAGATTTATGAGAAACAATTCAGTGATGCGATACCATTACCCAGGGATAAACATTCCACAAATATAAAAATTCAATCAGATCTTACATTTTCACAATTATTACGTTACGTTTCAGAAACAAATTATCGTAATTTATGGAAGGAGTCTTATAAAAAATATTATAGCAAGTATTTGAGAGTTTTATAAATATTTCATCAATTTATAAACTTGAATTTTTTATTAAAATTATAATAAATTTATAGGTATATGGAATTTATATGAATCTAAGGAACAGCCACTATTGACGCCAAGCAGTGATGATATTGCAGTGATGCATGAAGTATTATCTCGACTTTACAGTTGTCCTTTGATACACATAAAAGACAGTAAAGTCATTTCAGTAACTCCTGGTGTAAATGATAGCAATAATTTACATTGCAATCTTTTACCAGCGATGTTTGCTATCGAAACATCATCAGCTTTCATGATTTTTCATGAGCAAATAGCTAAATTTTCCCTCCAAGAGTGAGTAAATTTTTATTAATTAATTGAAGAAAAAAATAATATTTAAATAATTTCAGGTGTGTGATGTATAGTCCTGCCACATTATCGACAAGTTACAATAAACCTTTATTTTTAGTCTATCAATTACTACATTTATCGAGAGATCTTCATGACTCGGGACTTGCTCTCGGTGAAATAACTCTCAGTGATATTTTATTAATGGATAATTATATAATACAAGTATTTTCATTGTTATTTATTAATTATATAAAATATAAAATTAATTTAGATAAAAAATTATTATTTTAATTTCAGGTACTGCCTAAATTGGATGACAATATTTATTTGAAACCCGACGTCCAAACTCGTGCTCTTATTGATGAAAAAAAAAATTATTCTACTGTTAAAAAATCATTTTCTAGTCCGTCAAAAATAGATGGTACAAAAGGACCAAATTTTGGTTTTAATCAAAATATTGAGATTCTTTGTGAGATGTGGATCTATGGCCAGCTTAGTAATTTTGATTATCTGACAGCGTTAAATAATTTAGCTGGACGTAGATTTGGTGATCCTAGTTGTCACCATGTGATGCCTTGGGTAACAGATTTTAATTCAAGATCAGGAAAAAATTGGCGAGATCTAACGAAATCAAAGTTTCGACTAAATAAAGGCGATAGGCAGCTGGACTTGACTTTTAATTCTCAAACTTCTGAAGTTAGTTTAATGTTTATATTATTTTTTAATTAAATAAATAATTATAACTAGCAACCTTGCAGTCACTATGTGATTAAATATCATTAAATAATAACTTTTGTTAAATTGTACTGTAATTTCTTAACTATTGACGTTTTTAAAGATATAAGCTCATCCCGATGTTAAACTCATCAAGAGCTTTCATTTGAGTACCCACATGCATTTTGATATATTTTTTATATATACATATACATAATATATGTAAATATATGAAAAAATTGATGTGGGTACTCAAATGAAAGGTCTCAATGAGTGTAATGTCGGGGTGAGCTTATATCTTTAAAAATGTCAATAGTTTACAAGATATAAAATATGTTTCTTAATTATGTTAAATTGCACTGTACTTTCTTAACTGTTGACATTTTTAAAGATATAAGCTCATTCTGATATTACACTCATCAAGAGCTTTCATTTGAGTACCCACATGCATTTTTGATATATTATCATATATACATATATATATATATAATATATATAAATATATGAAAAATCGATGTGGGTACTCAAATGAAAGGTCTCGATGATTGTAATGTCGGGGTGAGCTTATATCTTTAAAAATGTCAATAGTTCACAAGATTATATTAATTTCTGATTAATTATGAATTTCTAATTAAATTAATAATTTTCATTTATAATAGGTAGGTCATCATGTGTCTGAAGTTTTATCAGAAATAACATATTATGTATACTTATCTCGGCGGTACTCAAGATCCGTACTCTGTAAGCATGTAAGGTCATATTGGGTTCCTTGGGAGTATCCAGCATCCATTCAACGGCTCCAAGAATGGAGTCCAGACGAATGTATTCCACAATTTTTCACAGACCCTAATGTTTTCAAAGTAATTAACCATTAATAAATAAACTGATGATTTACTGATCAATTATTATTATTATTATGAATAAATTTTAGTCAATCCATGAAGACTTACCAGACCTGGAGTTGCCAAGCTGGGCCCGGTCACCCGAAGACTTTATCGAGAAGCATCGTGAGGCACTGGAGAGTTTCTACGTGTCGGAGAGACTGCATCACTGGATAGACTTAACATTTGGCTATAAGTACGACAGCGCTCTTTTACCCTGTGGCTATGGTTAGGGATTACCTGGCAGAAAACCCAGATCAAGAAGTACCTTTCTATAGCTCTACGTTATTTATTTAAAACTGTCTCTTAATTTTTATTTTTTATTTGTTGTTTCATGTTTACGCAGACTATCCGGTTTAGCGGCTATTATATCCAAGAATGTTTGCCTACAACTTGTTGACAATCATACAAACTTGACCAATTCTGGGGTAGTTCAGCTTTTTACGTATCCCCATCCTCAGAAAATAGTCCCTTCGCCGTATTGGAGTAAAACAGCACCTAGAATACGTAATTTGACGCCAAAAAAATCAAGTGAGCTATTTTTCATCATAACTCATTAGAAAATTTTTGCCAAAAATTCGAAATTAATCATTAAAATATTTAATCATGGCGAAAATATTGGCCGTATAAAAATACTTAAATATTGAACAACATTTTATTCAAAAAATTTTTTTATACGATCAATATTTTCGCCTTGAAATAAAAAATTTAACCCCATCAATTATTAATTATTATTTTGAAATTAAATAATTATTAAATTAATCAATCTATTAATTTAATTCTCCAGAGACTGACAAATCTGCAGATAAAACGAGCGACGACGAGGGCCATAGTTCTGGTTTTGAAGAAGTAGAATCACCTGTCACACTAAACGTAACAAGATCATCTCCATTAGCTCTAAGTCGCTTACTGAGTCGCTCCCGCGGATCTCTATTAGCCACGGATGACAATTCTCGCTCAGAAAAGACATCCCAAACAATCCAACTTCCCAAAGATTACAATCCCGTATCCGCGCTTAATCAAGTAGAATCAATGCACTCGTTTATCAGCAAAGTGTCTCACCGAATTTACAAGCCGGAAATAACAAACCAAACGGGCTTCACAAGTTACAGACAAGTAGTAGCTACCGCTCGCATCAAAGAGCAACAAATCCTCGGCTGTTTGATCGTAGAAATTTTCCTACCAAATAAATTCCGCGCCACCTGGAATACCAGCAAGATTTCATTCGCTCAAAGACTCGAAACTTGCGTCAACGTATTAACTAAATTTCCGGATCTACTCCCTAAGTGTGTGAGAAACGCGGTGGCTCTCCTGCTTCAAGTCGACATTATTCCCAAGAGTTACGGAATTACAGGTGAGAACGAGCAACCAGCAACCTTTCGGTACCCCACAGTGACATCAATGGGTTTACCACCGCCCTCAGCTCACCAATTCCTCCAACCAATTCTTTCCACCAATCTTCTACCTTACTGTTATTTCCAACACCTGTTCCACGTCGTAGAAATGCTTCAAGAGTACAGCAGCTTAGTCCGCGAATTAAATTCCCTTATTCGCGAAGACGACCCCGAAGCCTCAAAAACCCGCGTTCAATTTTTATGCAAAATAAACGAGTGCAAAGTAAAATCACTTGCCCGAGAATTAGACCGACTTTTACAATCTCAAACGCGAAATTCAAGTGACTTTAATTCTATTTTACAATTAATTGTTCCGCATATTAAACAAATAATGGATGAACCCTACAGCGCAGTTTTAGCAGCTTGGTATTTACTCGATCCAATTGCCAAAGCACTGGGCCCTAAAGACACTGCGGAAACATTTCTCACCCCAATTATTAAATTATACGAAAATGGGTCTATAATTGACAGCAATATTTACGCAGATTATTTATCACCATCAACACTCGCTAAATTCCGTACAATGAGACTCTACCACCGTAGTTTCCTTCTTAAATTGACGGTACGTTTAGGCCTTCGTAGATTCCTAGAAAATTTTATAACTCCGCTTGTAGAAGCCGTGGGCTGTTACCGAGATCACCCGCAAGCTTTGAATATAAATCGCCAGCGCGCGGGAAATTTAAAGAGCTGCGATCTAAGCGAAAATTCTGCAGACGGAGAAATTGTTTTGTCCCCTTTAGACGAAGACTCTTCAGTAGACTCCGAGCAGAATTTAAATTCCGTTACCCTAGCTTGTGATCTAGAAAATTCACGTGACACCCCCACAATTGAAAATGATGTTGAGGAAGTTTTCACAATGGAAACGGAGGAAACTCTATCTCCGACGGAAAAACTCCCTCAAGATCCGCATTTAGTGTTAAATTTGAATCTAATTGACGACCTTATTGACGAAAGCGTGCGCAATTCTCCTCCGGGTACAATTAAATCGCCTACTATCCCAATCCCCAAAAGCGACCGGGGGATAAAATTAGTCGCAGATTTTAACACTATTGGCTGCCACGTGGGTAGTAAAACTTCCAGTGAAGATTTGCCACTTTCAAGCTCATACACCGGAACCGTTCAAATTTCAACTTCAGACTTTGATTTGGAAAAAACTAAGTCTGTTTTTGAAGCCGTAGCAATTGGCGACGAATTAGATGAACCTGGGAAGAATAATGACTCGCATTTGCTGGTAAAAGAGTGCAAAGTCTCGGAAGTAAGCGCTGAATCGGTAATCTGGCTTTCTCATCGCCTAGGTCCGGTTCTTACAGCTCGCCACCTTTCAAGAAATCTTTTGCGCATGTTGACTCTCTGCTACGCCGGGAGCAATAATTTGCTTCCTATAGACGAAGATTTGTACTCTGAAGAACTTCACTGGAGAAAAGTCCAGTTAGTAGGTGATGTAAACGCAATAAAGGTTCTAGAATCTTTGACAGCAATTGCAAATTTGTACGGAGAGCAGATGATAATTTTGCAGTATTTCGGTCACATGGCGGAATTATTAACTTTATGTAAGCGTAAACTGACTTCTAATTTAGAAGGAGGGTTGGTTTCTTGTCTTGCATTGCTGTCGTTTGTAACTCCGTGTCTTGGAGATGCTTCATTAATGGACGCGTTGTATGAAACGATAGTAAAGTCTATTTTGCATCCAGCTGTAAGAATTCTTTCTACAACTAGATACTCATTTCCCAGCGGGGTAAACGCAAGACTTGCACTAGCTAACAAATGTTTGGAAGTTTTGTCGAGCTTTAGCATCCGCTTAGGAAGCGCTACCACAAAATCTCACCTATCAGTACCGATTCAAAGATTCTTTTTAGCCTTTGACAAGGTATTCACCCAAAATCTAATTCAAGATGAAGAAATTGCCAAAAAACGGGATAGAGATAGTAAAAAAATAAACGAACGCAGTGAAATTTTGAAAGATTCGCTCGATTGGACGCTAGTAGACTCTTCAGTGGGAATTCAAACTGCAGTTACGGACATGGCGGTCTCGTTTTCTCCCCCAATAATAGACAGTGACGAATCTGACCCTCAGAGGAATCAAGCTTTTGAAGAGCTCAAAGCGGTTTTTACCCTAGAATTCGCTCACAAAGCGTATCTCCTTTTTTACCGCCACTTAGACGAAGGCATGATGGAAGACTTGTTGAAGAACCATCAATTAATCCGCGATCTTTGCGAAAAATATGAACAAACTCTACCGACTTGTGATATCGGCTCGAGCAAATCTGACCCAGCGTATTTGCAAACTGAAACTTTAGAAGATGATGTTGTAAAAGGAGTCGGAAGCTTTGGGAATATTTCTGTGGTGGGTAATAGAATTGAAGTTGGTGATCAGGACAATTTTAATTTATCAAGCCGCGAAGGATCTGCGGCTCATGGTCGGCAGCTTCGGGGCAACTGGCTTGCTTACTGGGAGCACGAAATCGGACGGCCTGATAAAGACTTGACTTTTAATATCAAACAGATAAAACTGCAGAGTTTCAATGGACACACTAACAGTGTGAGATGTCTGCATGTTCTGGACAATGAAAACAGTTTTATGAGCGGAGCTAGGGATAAAAGTGTTAAACTTTGGAGCATCAGGAGCCAAGGTGACGGTACTGGAGTTTCTTCTTGCCAATATACGTACACAGGCCACAAAAAGTCTATTTTAGCGCTCACGTTTTTGGAATCTATGAGGTACGCTGTTACCTGCGACGGAACGGTGCATTGTTGGGACCCTTTTATGGGATCTTTGTTAGGGTGTCCTGAAAGCTCAAGGCAGGCTCCGGTTAATGCTCTTGCTGCGAATAATACTCCTTCTACGTCGCTGTTAGCAGCGACTACTGATGTCACTCTTCATGTGATAGATTGCCGCACTTTTAGTTACGTTAATGAACTCAAGGTAGCTATTAACCCCGCGGGGCTTATCAGGTGCATTGCTGTGGCGCCCAGTGGCCATTGGGTAGCTCTAGGCCAGGCTTCAGGAGTCCTTACGATTCTGGATATTAGGACTGGGCTGATAATTGCCTCGTGGAAAGGCCACGAGTGTGAGATTTTGCAGTTAGAAGCGGTTAATGAGACGACTATCGTTAGTTCGTCGCTGGATCAAACTATCGCAGTCTGGAGCGCTGTTGATGGGAAGCTTAAGTTTCATTTAAAAGGCGCTACTGAACCGGTTCATTGTATGGTTCTGTATGAACAGCAGCTAATTTCTGGGACTACTGCTAATAGAATTGGAGTGCATGCTGCGGTTGATAATACTGCGGTGTTTTCTTCTTCTAAATTAAAATCTGACGCTTTTAAAGGCGTACTGACTACGATGACTGTACTACCGCTCAATAGATTACTCTTACTTGGATCTGATAATGGTGGAATTACTTTACTGTGTTAATTTATTTGTATATTAAAAATATATGTACTTTATTGTTTTTTTTTTTTTTTTTTAAATTATATTAATAAAAAGTATGAAAAATCTAAAACTCAAATTTTTAATTTTATTTATTTATTCTTGTTACAAGAATTTAAATTGTTTGAAATTTTCTATACTTTTCTTCTTTATCTGAAGAAATCACATTTTTGCTGTAGGATTTTTTTTAATCAAATTTATTTCATACAGAAAAAAAAAATTTTTTTTAAGAATTCCGCAAGTACTTCATTCAAGACTTAAAATTTCTTATGACAAAAAATGCTATTTATCTTAATAAATTTAATCGATCTTACTAGTATGACTATGATTAATTAAATATACTACAAGAAAAATATAATTTCTTCAGCTAAAGAAGAAAAGTGTTGAAAATTATAAACAATTTAAATTCTTGTATGAAAATGAAGTTAGCCGACATTACAAAATTTTTAAAAATTTTTTATTAAAAAAATTTCAATTAAAAAACTTAAAAAAAAAAATTTCACGTGTAAAAAACTTAAAAAACTATAAGTGCAATTTTTTAGAAAAATTTTTTTAGTTATAATTTAATTAATAAAAAAAAATCAAAAATTTTTAGACGTCTGCTAACTTCAGTGCCATATTCTTGTTCTTTTTTCTCAAAAGTAATTTTTTCTCTCAATGTAGTTTTTAAGTATATAAAAAAGCCAACTATTTGAAGTACAATAGTTGAATAATCTAATCGATTAATTCAAGTACAGCACAACAAGTTAAATCAACTTATCCTTTTGAATAAGAGGTGAGTAAAATAAACTCCAACCCTCATTTCCTTCACCCCTCTTTGATTTATAAATATCAATATATTTTTAGCACACTTTGAAGCTTATTTATAGCATACATTATAATGAAAGCCTAAAGTTACTGTTATTATAATTATAATAATCATTTATCATCAAATTAAAATAAAAATATATAAGTTAGGTTTTGCGTAATTGATTAATTTTTCAAAAGATAAAATAATTTTGTCATCAAGTAAGATGAGACTCTTTATTACTAGCACAAAAAATATAAGCAAAATGAAAAAAATTCTTAGACGTGGTAAGAACTATTTTCTTCGGTAAAATTACACCAGATAACTTCTTGTACAGCAATAAGCGCTGTCATTTAACTTTCATTTCATCACTTTATCCAGGATACCACCGCGTTTAAGGGTTTTCTTAATAACTCTAAGTGAATTGAAACAGGAAGACCAGACCGTAAATATGTCGTAAGAGAACGAATTATCTTCATTATGATTACGGGCGAGAAAACGTAAACTTTGTTATAAATTGTGTTAATGCCGAATAGCTTTCTGTTTACTGACATTGAAAATTTTTTAATAAGAAATAGATGATAAAGTTATTGCACGATATTAAATGCGTGGCTTATAGAATAATTTGATAAAAAAATCTTGGGAACTTTTCAGATATTTTCAACGACAAATAATTATATCAGTAAGAATTCTTCAGAACTTTTGTGTGTCTTACACATTCTCATTGCATTTGAATAAAAAAAGCAGGGAAAAAAAAGAATTATGATGAGGTCAGAGATCATTGGGTATTCAGATAAAGTAACATGGAAGTGTATCCGACGGGACTACGGTGGCAACATACCAATTAGCCGTTCTGCACGGCGTCCGGGGCCCGGTGTCAAGTGCACGCGTAGATTTTGTTCCCCCGAGAGGAGAGAAGCGAAAAAAAAAAAAAAAAAAAAACAAGAAGAGAAGAGAAACAACGACGAGGAACTGAAGAATGAGCGGCTCCCGCGGCGAAAGCCGGAAGGATGTAAAAAGGAACGAAGGGTGTACAAAAAAAGAGCCAACTTGGGAAAAGAGAGCTCTCGACGTGATAGATAACGTCGTAATTTATAACACACCGTTACTGGGTCATGCGCTCTACTATGTAGTTTACAGGAAGAACAAGGAATTACTCTAATTATAACATCCGGTATCTTGGGGCTTACGTCGACGTTACTTTTTTATTTTCTGTTTCGATTTTTCAGTTTTTTTTTTAAAATAAGTATTAATTCTCAGTTTGATTTTTAAATTTTACTACTTTCACGGAAAAAAGAAGGGAAAAATTACATTATATATTGTAACGTGGCGCTTCGTATAGAAAATTGGAAAAATTAAAGTTTCAGATTGTAATTATTAGAGATTTTGTAAGAATTATAATGTAAAATGTAAATATTACCTAGAAAGCTCTGAAAATTAACATTCAAAGTTTGAATTTATAAAAATGTTATTTTAAATTGCAATTTTTCTAGTTTTTTAGGTAGATTTCGTAGAAATCTATCTATTGCATTGGACCTTGTGTCGGAATTCACACGGAATTTTGTCATTTTATCTCTTATGTAGTCGAGTAAAGCTCAAAATTAGCATTGGTTCAAAAGTTTATATATACATATGTAATATAACGCGGCTTGTGGACACGATAGCGTCTACAATTCTCAACGGATTTAGATCAAACTCGGTACACATATTCTTTGGGTAATTACCTTGAACGAGTTCGAAGATGAGCAAAATCGATCAATTAGTTTAGAAATGGCGGCCATTGAAAATTTTCAAAATAGTGAAAATCATGTTTTTGGCCACTTCATTGATGTATAACTTTTGATTGAACAGAGATAGCTAATTTTTGAAAAATTCATGTAATAGCTCATAAAATTACCTTTAATTTGACGTATATAACATCAACATTTTGACCATTTTAAGTTATTTTATCAAAGTTAAGAGTGCAACTGAACCATTTTCAGGCAATGAGTAGTACAACCGACTTATGTACGTCATTCTATCAAGAATTTCATTCAGTGAAATCTACCTTCCATTTCGGGTGTGGCCGAATGGCGTTTTTTTTTTATAAGAAGCGACGCTTATTATTATTATTATCATATAATTTTTACAGTTTTTAGTAGATTTCATAGAAATATAACTATTGCATAGGTCGTCATGACGGAACATTTAAAAAATTTTGCTACATTCCAACTTAACTTGACGAGCTGAGTCAGAAAATTGATATGGTTCAAAAGTTCATATATATATATATATCAGATATAACGTGGCTTGTCACAATGATAGCGTCGCCCATTTACAACGGATCTGTACCAAACTCAACATACTTATTCTACAGATAGATACTGAAGTTAAGTTCGAAGATGAGCTTAATCGGTCAAGTAATTTAAAAATGCAAGGATTTCAAAATTTTCAAAATCATAAAAATTCATTTTTCGTTACTTTCTTACTCGAATAACTTTTGAATGGGATAACTTATTGAATCTGTAAATTATATCTGAAAGATCTTTAAATAAACTTCAATTTGAGTACTATATAATATGTGTAGTTTTAAAATTAAGCGCTATTACGCAATGCCAATAATGAACTTTGCTATTACATTCGTTTTATAAAATTTTTATTTTTTTATTAGAAAACTTTTATTGTAATGATTACAATAAAAATCATACGTGAAAATTCAATTGTATAATTTTGATTGATAAGTAATAAAATGAAATCTACTTCCATTTCTGCTGCCGAAAAAAAAATTTATATTGCAACCAAAAATTAAAGGTTAAATTTAATATCTAAACATTTTATGAATGTTAATTAATTTTAAGCGAAATTAATCCAAAAATATTTTTTTAAATTAAAATAATTCTGATATTTTGCCGTTTTATAATTTTTAGAGTTCTAAAAATTTTGCCGACTTGAAAAGTTCGACTGTATATACATTTTATAGAATAAAAATTTTGATGTTAACATCAAGCTTTACTTAATTTTCTCTTAGGTAAAAATTTGGTAATTTCAATCGATAAAAAATCAAACTTATGTTGTTTTTTTGGTTACTAAATCTCGAATTGTGCTTATAGAATAAAAATTATCCATTATAGTTACTAACCAAGTGTATTTATATCTGGCCGCAGTGGCACTTACACCGTTTCTCCTGTAATACCGAACAAGGAGTAAATTCATAAGCCACAACGTGAATTACCCTTACTCCGAACGCTGTATTATCCGTAAAGGTATAATATACCCACGTCAATTCTCCCTCACAGCATTCTAAACTCTCAATGCAGCTAATTCCATCCAAAGCTTCGGTTAAGCTTTAGTAAAATCGTCCCTGACAATTATGCAAATTCATCCTCAATTTCTCTCTTAGCTCCAGACCGGGAATTCAAACGCCCAAATTCGCAAACTTGATTCTACAGTATACACAATTTCTGTAATTTAGCTCTACACCTTGAATTACATAGAATAAAATAAAATCATTAAATATTAAATATATTAAGCTACTAGACGCTGTCTCCACTCAATGATTTACTTCCAAAACAAGGTATTTTATTCACTAGCTATTATTATGATAATGATAATAAATATCAGGAAAATTTATTATCAAAATGAATATTTATCTTGTTGTGAACCCTGGAGAGTAGTCTAGGCGTTGTGTAGTCACGGATTAATATCCTCAAGTACTTATTATATGCAATGCACTTACTTAACAGTTGTAAATAGTGTACCGAGGACTTCCGGGCAGATGATATAAATTGTTCAGAAGTTAACTTCGTTTTCGGTTTAAACTTTAAGGTATTGCTGCACGCTTGTTTTAAATGAAGGGTGATAAACGTTTACGTTTGCGTATGACACCTTTAATGCACTTTCTCTTATTATCCGTCCTCTCTACTGCTCTCAGTTGTTCTGCAGAGCTGAATTGTGCCTTCTTCCTCTATCGCGTTCTCTTCCAGGTATATGTATGTCCTCGGTCACGTGGACTAGTCTATACCAGCTGCTATCCTGCATTTATATTAATGGCATCCAGTAATCCGATTTCACTGAAATCTCCTTTCATCCACAAATACTACTCTGCCAGATAATGAGAATTATTGGTAAGACATTAATTATTTCTCTATCACTCAGTTGACATTTTCGATCCCATTATCATTTTTCCTGTCTATAAACGGCTCGATCTTCCTCAGTTATTATTCATTTTGATTCTATATTGACATATATGAAGATTGAGAGTTTTGTAATATTTTTATTACTGCACAGTAGAAAATTTTGTATTATTGCGTCAAAAAAATTTTTTACTTTGTAATTTTTTTTTAACACTTCAGTAAATTTTTTATTTCAAATCTTTTTTTAATTTTTATGGTAATTTTTTGTTTTTAATTAAAACTAGCAACCTTGCAATCACTATGTGACTGCCGTGACTTCTGAAATATTAATAAATAAAATTTTGGTTTATTAAATAATGACTTTTGTTAAATTGCACTGTATTTTCTTAACTATTGACGTTTTTAAAGATATAAGCTCATCCTGATATTACACTTATCAAGAGTTTTCATTTGAGTACCCACATGCATTTTTGATATATATATTATATATATACAATGTAATATATATAAATATATGAAAAATTGATGTGGGTACTCAAATGAAAGGTCTCGATGAGTTTAATGTCGGGGTGAGCTTATAACTTAAAAAATGACGATATTTCACAAGATACAAGATCATTTCTTAATTATGTTAAATTGCACTGTACTTTCTTAATTATTGACGTTTTTACAGATATAAGCTCATCCCGATGTTACACTCGTCAAGAGCTTTCATTTGAGTACTCACATGCATTTTTGATATATTTTCTTATATACATATATGTAATATATATAAATATATGAAAAATTGATGTGGGTACTCAAATGAAAGATCTCGATAAGTGTAATGTCGAGGTAAGCTTATAACTTAAAAAATGACGATATTTCACAAGATACAAGGTCGTTTCTTAATTATGTTAAATTGCACTGTAATTTTTTAACTATTGAGATTTTTAAAGATATAAACTCATCTTGATGTTACACTCATCAAGAGCTTTCATTTGAGTACCCACATGCATTTTTGATATATTTTTCATATATACATATATGTAATATATAAAATTTATGAAAAATTGATGTGTATACTTAAATGAAAGGTCTCGATGAGTGTAACATCGGGATGAGCTTATAACTTTAAAAATGTTAATAGTTCATAGGATATAAGGTCATTTCTTGATAATGTATCTAAACTGTATAAATACTTATTATAATAAATTAACTATCGGTGAGAATGATATGAAACCTTGAAAAGGCACAAATTCAAGTCAAGAGTTTTGCAATGACTTTAAATTTCACTTAAAATTGATTTTTTCGAAAAAAAATCTTTGTTAATATAAAAAAGATTTCTAATTATATATGATGAGGTTAAATATTACTTAAGATATATTTTAAAAAAATTTTAAGTTTATGTAATAAAAAAATGATATTTTTACTTCTTCAATATTTTTTCTCTATACATTCTAACAATAATAATAATAATAATTCGAGCGTAGAAAAAAAATTTAATTCCATTAGAGGGAAAAAAAAATTTAAAAAACAAAAATTATTAAGTCATAGCCCGAACTGACAAAGGCTTTGCGTGTAGTAATTCACCGGTTGATATCAGTGTCGAGAGTCTCGAGCTACGAAAAAAATAAAGGAAGTAAAAGAGAGTGGAATAAAGAGAGCGGCAAAGAAGCATAAGGTATAAGGCACAAAGAAGTTAGTAAGCAACTACAAACTCGAGTACTAAATAAGTAGAACAAAAAGTTCACTTTTCAAACAAAGGGCTCATATGAAACCACAGGTTGTCAAGTAAAATCCTCTTCTTTTTTTTTCTCGCTTATTCACACACTCAACCGACTTATAATTTTTTTTTAATGCCTGCAATAAAACGAGTAAAGCAGAAGAGGTATAAAGCAATTTTTTAAAATTCATTATTTTATTTAACGACAATTGTCTTTTTTGTAACATATATAACTCTAGATATTTTTTTAGCCCTCGAGGTACCAA